TCAAGCTGCTGGGTCTGGGAGAGACTATGGCTGTCTCTGCCAAGTGGCAAGTCCAGAGGCTTAACTACTACACCCCCTGCTGGCCTCACCAGCTCAGGACTTAAAGGCTGATTATTCAGCTATTGAGTAACCCATAATCTTTCTCCTTGTTTTGGTCTGTTCGTTTCTTGCTGCATCTAGGCGTCTCCACAAAGGATGTTTAGAAGCAAGGTAGAGGTGAAGTTTAAACTAATATTATTTTTTTCCCTCTGAGTTGGTTCGTTCTTCTTCTTTTTTTTTTTTTTTTTTTTTTTTTTAAGAGTTATTGGGACCAGCAGTTAGCTGGTAATGTAATGGCTATGTCCTGAACTCCCATGTAGTCAACCGCGGATCGTGTCCTGCACCCGGCAGCTTAAACTCAGGCCGGGCGCATGTGCGTGCGTGCCCAAGATCCTGGGAGGAGAATGGAGGAGAAGGGATTGCGGCGTGACCATCCCCCCTAGGAGGTGATTTCTCACTTTCTATCTCTCTGTCTCTCTCTGTCTGTCTGGCGAGCGCATGCGCCCTATAGCAAAAACCTCTCCAAAAAAATAGAGTTATTTTGCTTGTTTAATTTGACCAGAGGAGGACAGAGAGAGGGGGAGAGAGGGAAGAAGGGAGGGAGAGAAAGTGAGAAGGCAAGTCGCCAGGTTTGGGACTCAAACCGTGGTCAGCCACGTGGGAGTCTAGCGCCCTTAACCACTACATCACCTGCCAGCTCCCCCCCCCCCGAGTTCTTTAATGAACAATTTGATTTTTTTAAGGTAGTTTAGTCGTCATTATTGTAAATGACGAAGAGTGACCTTCCTTCAGTTTATTTCGATGTATCTTACACACAAGTACAGAGAGGCTTTTGGATGCTTCTTAAGAAACATGGGCTTATATAGATTCCCGTAATTGCTCTCCTGAATTATTGAGCTTGAGGTTTCATTACATCTTTGTACCGGAACCTTAGCTTTTGCTGTGGAACAGATTCAGGGGCATTTTATTTTTATGACTGCTCAAGATGTTATCTTGTTTTGATTTAGCAGTAAAAAGGGAAAAAAAAAAAAAGACTAATAGTGGATAGACCTTGTGTAACATCTGTAACATTGATGTTTTTCCGTGTCTTTGGTCTTCCATTTCTCATTTAACCATGTGGTGGCTGTTCATGAGTTGGAGCTTTTGTAGTTTGGCTGTAGGGATCTGACTGGAGAGTGGAGAGAGAGAGAGAGAAAGTGAGAAATCACCCCCCCAGGAGGAATGGCCACACTGCAGTCCCTTCCTGCCACTTTCCTCTTAGGATTTTGGGCACACATACACAGGTGCCTGGTGTGTTTTTCAAGCTGCCAGGTCTGGGCCTCCAGTCGTACAGTTGGCCATGTGGAATCTAGTCACCCCAACCTCCATGCCACCTGCTGGCCCCACTTAAGACAGGGGATAGAAACCATATTCACACTGGTGAGTAGGTTCCTGTTTTATATATGTTTAAGCCTCAGGAATTTTTACACACCCGTTACGACTGCTCACTTAGGCTGAGGTACTGTACGGCTTGTAAATAAATCCTAACTAGGTCGGTAGGGTTAAAGAATGGCTGTAGGGAGTCTAAAATGAATCTTTTTCGATTCTTTTTCTTCGATTCTGTTCTTTGCATTTCTACTCTAGGAGGGG